TTAATGGCCCCCGTTAAGAATGAACGCACGGCCGCATGTTTACCGATCCTCCAGAAGTGTCTGGGGGCCCAGCGGCACATGAGGCCTCAGACAGGAGAATCGATGGTAGGGGGGGCTCTGAGTTCCTGTTGACGCCCCATTCGGAAAACAAGCCCCATTTGGGGGGAGAGGACATACAGGAAGATCTACTAATAAATAACAACATTACAGGCCACTCTGTCAACCGTGTCAGCATGAAAAACGATTCCAGAAACTTCTGTATCCCATCATTGCTATTCCAGTGCAGCATTGCTCACTGGTACATAATGTGATTCATATTTCATTACCATGCACTGCAGAGATACTGTATTATTACCTCAGCCAATAAACCTTTACAGCACAAAATAAAGCATTAATTTAAAATCGTGCAGAACTAATCTGATTCTGTGGACCAGATATTCATGTGGATACGAGCACACGGAACACGTGTAAGGACTGGCATGAGAGAAGTCTTTCGCACACTCCTCGGGAGGACACATGATCCAGCGTTCCTATCCACATGATGTTTCATCATGGAACCGGATTTTCCCAACATCTCACTCAGCCAGCCGGTAATCTGGAGGAAACCCCATATGGAGAACATGCAAACTCCACATGCATGGAGCCAACAGCGTTAACCACTGCACCACCATGTCACCCCCTGCCTTTCAAATTCATCTAAATATGATGAGGACCTATCAGAACCCCCTATGGGCAGGTCTGTGAGGAGTGCATTATGAGTGGCGTTTGCAAGGACCGTTCACAACATGATGCACCTGTACTGTTGGTCGCATACACAGGAATTCATTGCAGAGTTAAAACAAACCACAACATACTTTCACAGCTAATTGAAAGCAAAAAACCAGACCAGACAACACACAGTATCCATGGGAGATCAGTGAGGCCGCTTAGCCAAGTCACATGCCCTTTAGAGCAGGGGTGGCCAATCTTATCTGCAAAGGGCCGGTGTGTATGCAGGTTTTCGCTGCAACTCCCTAATTAGATTACTACTTAGAGGACTGATTGGCTGAAGAGTCCTCACACCTGGGTTTGAACAACTGACCTACAGGTTATCCCAAAGACCTGCATACACACTGGCCCTTTGCGGATAAGATTGGCCACCCCTGCTTTAGAGAGTGAGTTACCCTCACAAAGCAAAGGTCAAGCCAGACAGCCCTCGGTCACGCTAGTCTGCAAAGTTTGGCTGCCATCAACGCTGGACTCAGTGGATACTGTACATGAGAACAGTGGCCTGACTTAACCACTGCATCACCTTGTGAATTTAAAAAAAACAACTGCAAACCCAGCTTTTGCTTTCCCTTTATGGGAGGAAGAGACCCCAGCCATAATTGGAAAAAGAATTATAGCTCAGCCACATCCAACTTGATTGCTTTGTGTCTAAAACAGAAATTGTGAGCGAAGGTGCAGAAAAGCATGGTGACTATTATTGGACAGCTATCAGGAGTAGGTCATTGACCATGAAAAGCATGGAAACATGCCAATACGGCTTAAATTACGGCAGTGAAAACTTGAAGACTTTGATTAGCCCCCCATGTGTAAGCCACAATAATGACCAAGCAGTGATGCCTGCTCACTGCTCTGCTTAAACAATGTTGCCTCTAACTGAACTCTGCCCAGAGCAGGCTCAAGTCCCTGATTAGTAATCTAGGGACACAATGGTCACTAACATATATAGGTTTGCGTGTATAATTATTACAATGAGAAATCATATAATCCATTTTGCCCAACAAGACTAAAGCAACTGAAAATTGTGCTAAATGATGACAATTGTACAAGAACAATTGCATTCATGTAGGCCTACTAAAACATTTGGAAATTTGTGTGAAACAATGAGAATTGATGTTCTGCTCTGCAGAAGTGACATTTTGGTTTGGGGATCACAGTCGCTGTTTTGCAAATGTTAGTTGTCATTTGAGAAATGTTCCACAGCAATCGAGAAAAACTGTATTATTATTTTTTTAATCTTTAATAAATACATAGAATGGCTAACATTTTTGTATGAAACCTCTATAATGTGAATATATTTTAAATGCATTTAAATAACATACAGTTTCTATATTTTTGTATCTCAAAGTCCAAAAATGTCACATGGTACAATGTCCAAACAAATGACTAAAGGAAGAAAACTATTTAAATAGGTATTTAAGTAATTTCAACTTAAAATTCAAGTGTAAGCTTCACAGGTCAGGAGAAATATGCAGCATGCAATGTTGTTGCTGTAGCGCCCCCATCTGGCAGACTGGGGTGCCCTTGCCAGGGTGAGCTGAGGGTCTGTAGAGACATGGATCATCCTGGGATATAGGATTTCAAATTTGATTAAGGAAAGACAAGGCATCAGCAGGTTATAGCTGTCTGATTATAACAGCCATGATTAAGATTCAGGCTAGTAGCTGTGCAGTAGACAAGCGTCAAAGTATTTTTGACAATTATTTATCAGCTCATGGGTCTGATTGGTCTGACACCAAATTTGGTCAGATTTGGTTGGAAGATGTAGGACTAGCTTGCAAAAGTAAGTTTTGGGAATGATACAAATTAGCTTGTAAAAATTCTGGGCAGAGCATAATATTGCATTGGAAGGTTGGTAGGACATGGCCCACTGTAACTGGCGAAAAAAGAACCTTGAGTTCGGGACTTACGGGACAGGAGATATAGGGCAAAACGTAGAATATTCCACTGTAGCGAATGTCTGGAAACACATGGACAACTTCAAGAGTGGATGAAAGGAAGTATAATTTGATAAAGAAATTATAATTTTTTTAATTGATAACATAATTGTGAGAAGACACATATTAACTTCCTAAAGGCGTTATCGACAAGTGCATGAGTCTCCAGCCAGTGACCATAGCGAAACTGACCAGCGGCATTTAGGCTCATGAGCTACTTCCCCTAATAGAGAGTGCATGTATGCAGGGCATGTGATATATGTTTCTCCAGTTCCGCTTGTTTTTTCAGAAAAGGACTCTGACAGGTATCATTATTGAAGTCGGTATGGACACTTATGTAATCATACATGGCCAGAGAGTGCTTTGTAATTTATGCTAGAAAATGTCAATTTTATGCATGCACATTTTGACTGGTGGCCTTCTTGGAATTTTATAAATGTTTTTATTTTAATATTTTAATTGTCATAAGAGGAATGTCTGACAAAGAGTACAATTTTGGATATTTGCAAAATTTGGCTTTTAATTTGCTTTTTTACTTTTTTTCACTTTTTGGAGACTCGTAACAAGCAGTGAGCCCCCCGCAGGCCCACCATAGGGGTCGTACTTGAATAGAGTTTAATGTGAAATGAGCTTGACAAAGGCAGGTGGCACAACCACACTTGATGTTACTACTAATTTTAAATGCAAGTTTCAGTTGCTTTAATCTTGTTAGTCAAAATGTATGTGATCGTCGTGTTAGTCATCACATGCAAAACCGTTAACCAAGATTTCAAAATGATCAAACAATATATTCCACAAATTGCAGTGATATGGCATTGTTGTGTTTTTGGTTCCCACAGTACATGCTTTTTATATTGCTATTTTGCTGTTTTTCTGTTATACGACGGTGTGACTTTTTTGTCTGCTATCGCACTGCATTTTGAGATCTGAAGAAGTTACATTTGCATGTGAGTGCTTTCTCTTGCCAGTGAACTTTATATGCTGTAATGTAGAGCCTTGCAATGCCGAAACTGGTGTCTTTGACATGACTAATGTTGTGGGTCACCTGACCCCTCGTCCTAGGGACTGGAGGCCCATGGCAGTCATCCCAGCTAAGTCCCCCTTTTGGTTGGGCCCTCACAGCACCGGATGACAGGTTGGAGCTACTGAACTTCCAGAACTGCAGGCGAGGTGGTGGCTCAAGCTCCCTCTGCCTTTCAGAGAGGAAAGAGGTGCACATTAAGGCCAACTAGCGCCACCTGGTGGTTCAATAAAGGAAGATAGCATGCAACATTGCAAAACGCTACACTGTATTACAGATGTTATTAATCATGCACTGAGTCTTCCGATTAATTCATTCGTCCATTTTCTATAGCTAGTTACAAGGTCACGGTGAACCTCAAGCCTTTCCCAGGAAGCACAGGGTGCAAGACAAGAAGATACCATGGACAAGATCCCAGTGCATCCCAAGAAAAACACGCACACATATAATTATGTGCTATTGGCACACTAAAGCACATATTTTTGGACTGCTGGAGGTAATACACAAACTCCACAGGGGAGTCTTTAGGGGGCTGATGTGTAAGTAGGGGTGTGTGATTGCATGTCTCCACAATCTGCTTTTACAGAGACATTGTAAGTATCGTGTTACTGTGCACACTCCATCAGTTACAGTACTATGACTCATACACAAAACTGTTTTGTCAGCCAAATCATTTTCGACACCAATAAACCTGTAATAACAAACAGTAGTTAGTAAAAAATCCAAAGCACTATCTCCTTTTGGAGCAAACTATACTTGTATGCTAAATTTGCAAAGATAAGGTTCTTATGTTGGATGGCAACATGATGAACCTTTTTAACAACCTCAAAGGAAAACACCTGAAAGAGTATGCTGTTATTTTTTCTCTTAGGCTTTGTTACCACATAGGGCAATATTTTTTGTTAAAAAGGGAAATTAGTTTGCTTGCACTGTTTAGTGACTTGCAAAATTGTCTCATAAAACAACAAGAAACAAAATCATGGTAAGATAGTGGATCGTGATCCTGTCATAAAGAAATCAAAATATGAAGTTTTGCCATATCACCCACCCCTATATGTAAAGTTATGCAACTTTACATTCATTACATTTTACATTACATTTACAGCATTTACATTTACAGCATTTGGCAGACGCCCTTAGCCAGAGCGACTTACATAAGTGCTTTAAGACTCTACAATGAATTTTTCCCGATACTACAGTAGCTCAATAAAACCAAGGCTATGAATACCATCCATCTAATACTCTGTTGGGAAAGTGCATAATGCCAGAAACAGAGTATAATGCCAGAAGTGTTAATTCAGGTATTTCTGGAAAAGGTGTGTTTTAAGTCGTCTTTTGAAGACATTCAGTGACTCAGCTGTTCGGACGTCTAGGGGGAGTTCATTCCACCAACTTGGTGCCAGAGCAGAGAAGAGCCGGGAGGTGTGTCTTCCTTGTGCCTCGAGGGGTGGTGGGACCAGTCGAGCAGTGCTGGAGGATCGGAGAGATCGTGGTGCAGTGCGGGGTGTGATGAGGTCTTTTAGGTAGGATGGAGCCAGATCATTTTTGGCTTTGTATGCGAGCATCAGTGTTTTGAATCTGATGCGGGCAGCCACAGGAAGCCAGTGTAGGGAGCGCAGCAAAGGAGTGGTGTGGGAGAACTTGGGAAGGTTGAAAACAAGTCGAGCAGCTGCATTCTACATTCAAAAGCAGGTATGGCAGGGATGGGCTCCAGGATCAGCACAACCCAAAACTACAAAGGCCACTGGGAAATGGATGGGTGGTTGGATGCATATGTGCATCTCTATTGTCAGCAGCAAGGTTTGTGATTTGAGGTATGATGTCTTATATTGCCATGCCTACACAGTACAATGCAGACCTTACTGGGCCATCACAGAGGTTGCAAAGATGCAAAGGTGGAGGGAAAAGGGAACAGGCGGATCCCCGCATGGAGCGGCTCAGTGAATTCAGCACGGAATGAGTGTATGTGGGTTATGGTGTCCGAGGACACGCTGTAGAAGGACAAGGTGCCAGCCTGGTGGTCCAGGTAGATGCCCAGCGTCTGTAACATGGAGCCCGGCGCCTGCATGCTGGTCATCTTCCCGTTGTGACAAGCCATCAGAACCGTACCCAGGCAATGCAGACACCAAGACTTGTCACTCATCCCAAGTGCAGAGAAATCATCAGATATATATTTCCGTGGGATTCCTCGGTATGCCACCCCAACATCGACCACCCCGCTGATCCTGACCTCCCAGTAAGACCGGTCAGAGAAGGCCTCACAGGACAGCACTTGCATTTCGCGGTCAAACCTTTCTGGGTGGTCAGGGTACAGCTCCTCTACCCCTCTGGCAAATGTCACCTTTTGGTCTTTGTCAGACAGGGACAGGCGTCTATGAGCAGTTAGGGGATCCAGACTTATGCTGCAGAAATCTGTGGGTCAGGAAATGAACACCGGTTACGAAAGTGATACAGGTGTCTTTGCCTGGTATGACATGGCACTGACTGAGACTGTGGCATGTACCACACCACATAGGGGAAACACACTGTGCAGTGCAAATAACCAGGAAACAATGTGAAGGTGTGTACAGGAATATACACTATAGAGAAATGGGTCTGATCGTGTGGGAATGCAGTGTATGTAAATGGAAAAAAAAACTTACATTTTTGCAGTCTTGGCCTGTCTCTGCTCTCTTCACAATGGTCAACACTTCAAAAGACGAAATCAGAAGGACAAGATGATGATGAATTACAGTGCCGATATGTGATTCTCAGTACCGAGACTCTACACATCCGCATTAACAGAAAAGGATAAATCAACCCATACCCCTGATGACATGCGCAGAGCAAGGAACCAAGCAGAAACACTCACAAGAGCTTCTTTAGCCCACAGCTGGGATCCTCTTGCAAAGCAGAGATGAGTGTCAGTCCAGAGTCCCCAGGGTGATTGTAGCTCAGATCCAGCTCTCTCATGTGTGTGGGGTTTGAACGAAGAGCTCGATTCAGGAAACCGCAGCCTTCCTCTGTGACCCGACAGCCTGAGAGGCTGCAGAAAAGAAACATGATTAAAACAACACAGACCGGAACGGAAGAGTTTATGACGATTTTGAAAATTGCACACACTAAACTTAAAAACAACTCAGAGTTTATTGCCAAGAATGACTGCTTCGGTGCAGCATCTGAATTTTCAATGGTCATCCTGCCCAATCAAGCTTCTTTCTGTCGAAAGCTATTAGTAAACTATATTACAGCTCCAATCATGTTTTATAACCCAGTGCCTTCTTATTTTTCCTCTTATTTTAAATGTTCCCTGTTTCTCCGAATATTTATGCCTATATAGTAAATTACAATGTACGATATTACTGCTATTCGTAAAGGAATGCCATGAGGTATAGTTAAGCATCAACGTAAACACTACTCACCTGAGTCGCTGTAGTTTGCAGTTGGCATCTTCAAGTCCATCACAAAGTAATTTCACTCCCGAGTCTTTGAGATCATTGTCTCTCAGTTCCAGCCCCCTCAGCTCAGAGCTGGCTGAGCGTAGCAATAAGGCCAGATCTCCACAGCACAGCTCTGTGAGGCAGCAGTTCCCCAACCTGTCGAGAGAGGAGCCCCGACTGTTAGCCAGGAGTACCATGCACCCACCCAGATCCACGTGACAAAGTGCATGAGGACCTTTACATGTGAAAGGGAAAGGAAGTATTTGGGGAAAAAATCATCCACTGTTTGTACTCACTTCAAGTTCTCAAGTTTACAACTGAAACTGCTCAATTCAGCACAAAGCACTAGCACACCACGGTCTCCTACGTCATTGTAGCTCAGATCCAGCTCTCTCAGGCATGAGGGGTTTGAGCCCAGAGCAGAGGCCAGGACCTCACAGCCCGCCCCAGTGAAATGACAGCCCGACAGCCTGGTGAAAGGAAAGCAAAACGCCTTGCAAATTTGTATAGTCCTTTGGATCAATCCATAGCAATGTTGCGGTCAGAAGTACTCACAAAAGTTTCTGTAATCTGCAGTTTGGACTCCTCAGTCCAGGATCCAGATGCCTCAGTCCTGAATCTCCCAGGACATTGTAGCTCAGGTTGAGCTCTCTCAGATGGTTAGTTACCTGGAGAGCTGATGCCACCGTTTCATATGATGAGTCCCTAAGACCACAACTGTCAAGCCTGCCCATTGATGAGAGAAGTAGAGTGTAAGCTATACACTTACACAGGGATGTTCCTGTTCAATAGGACTTCCATGGCAGACACAGTCAAGTCACATGATGTGTTTAAAGGAGGTGTCCATCTTGATCAGTCTGCACCACAGTTAGGTAGCTATTAGCTAACCAGTAACTGAAACAGAACACCAAAACTGTAAAAACTTAATGATATGGTGATTTGTGATCCTGTACTGGTAAGGAGTATTTCATTTTTATTGGTAAAATTAAGCTTTTTTTAAAAAAAATCAATTTACACTTGTTTCTTGCAAACATAATGAAGCCCAATCTATTCTACAGGATTTCCAAAAACTGTCATCAAAATAATTATTAGATAAATGCTCAAACTAGCTCCTCATATTTACTACAGATAAAACGGTACTCACACGGCGCTCCTACAATTCCTCATGACTGATAGTAGCCTCTCAAGACCCAAGTCTGAAGCATTGTAAGTCTTCAAGTCAAAGTCATCCAGCATCTCCTCTGACATCAGCAACACAAAGGCGAGGGCTGAGCATTGGTATGCTTTCAGCTTGGAAGGCTTTCTTGTTTTCAAGTAAGTATGGATTTCCTTCACTAGAGAATGGTCATTTATTTCATACAGACAGTGGAAGAGATTGATAATCCTATCTGGAGAAAATTCCTCCTTGATCATCTTCTTGATGTATTTGACTGTATCTTCAGCAGTCCAGTTTGCATTTCTTTTTGACATCAGCGAACCTTGAAGGAAAGTCTTATTGGATTCTAGTGAGAGGCCTAGAATGAATCGAAGAAAAAGGTCCAAATGCCCATTTCGACTCTGCAAGGCTTTGTCTATGGCACTTTTATGTAAAGCAGACAATGTTTCTTGTTCTTCTGCTCCAGAGTCTGGATCCAGGACATTTATTTTCTCTTGTGTGCATAGATAAAATGCATACAGAGCAGCAAGATACTCCTGAAGGCTCAGGTGTACAAAGCGGTACGCTTTTTCTTGATATATCCCAAACTCCTCTATAATGATTTCTGTGCACAGATGAGAATACATAGTTGCTTCACTGGCTTCGATGCCACAAGATTCCAGATCCTCTTTGTAAAATATCAGGTTCCCCTTTTCCAGAGCATGGAAGGAAAGCTTACCAAGTTTTAGAATAATTTCTCTATCTTCCATCGACAATATTTTTGAATTTGTGACACAGTTCCCTTGATATTTACGGTTTTTAATTATTTGAACTATAAGGAAGTGACTGTACATTTGGGTCAGAGATTGGGGTATTTCTTTGCTGACATCTTTACCTAATAGTTGCTCAAGGACAGTTGCTGAAATCCAGCAGAAGATCGGTATGTGGCACATGATGAACAGGGTCCTTGATGACTTGATGTACGCAAATATTTTGTTGCTCATGGTCTGGTCGCTGAACCTCTTGATGAAGTATTGTTCCTTCTGCGTATCATTAAACCCCCGTACCTCCGTCAGCTGTTGGATGCACTCATTAGGGATCTGATTGGCTGCTGCCGGCCGAGAGGTAATCCAGATGAGAGCGGAGGAAAGGAGATTTCCTGCGATGAGATTGGTCAACAGCATATCCACTGTAGTCGGCTTAGTTTCGTCATTCCAGATCTCGTTGTCATTGAACTTAAGGGGAAGACGGCATTCATCCAGGCCATCAAAGATAAACACAGTCTTGTTCCATTTAATGTTTTCTATTTCTTTTATTTGTGAAAAGAACTTATAAATGAGCTCAATGAGGCTGTACTGCTTCTCTTTCAACCTATTTAAGTCACGGAAAGGAAAAGTAAATATGAACTCGATATCTTGGTTTTCTCTTCCTTCTGCCCAGTCGAGAACAAACTTTTTCACGGACACCGTTTTTCCAATGCCTGCGATACCTTTGGTCAAAACAGTTCTGATGTGTTTGTTTTGGCCAGGGAGAGGTTTGAAGATGTCACTGCATTTGATGGCATGTTCTGGGCTGCTGTTTCTCCAGCACGCTGTCTCGATCTGCCGGATCTCATGTTCATTATTCACCCCTCCGCTGCCAGCTTCCGTGATGTACAGCTCCGTGTAGATATCAATGAGGAAGGTGCTCTTCCCTGGTTTTGCAATTCCCTCAGATATACATTGATATTTTTCCTTGAGTTTGTTTTTAAGTTCTCTTTGGACATCTCTGTACCTCTCATCTGAAATAACAGGAAATTGGGCAAAATTATTATATGATTCAACAAAATGTATTTAGACATTGTATAAATACGGACATACATACCGATGTTCTTGGCGCCCGATTCAAGCTGGTCCATCTGGGCACTGTGGAAGTACAACAGGTGGGACTGCAGGTTATAATGAGACTTCATTGACTTCCCCAAAGACTGTTATGCAGTAAGATTTGTCTTTCATGAAATTAACAGACTAATTGAAGGATAAATATCTGGATTCTGGGGTTTCTCCCCCAGTTACCACCTATGAATAAGTATGGAACAGAAATTATGCAGCATTTTTCATGTCGGATAGTGGAACATACCATAGTCCAATGACTCTGTACAGCTCTCCTCCGGCTTGGTTACCTAAGACAAGGGGGAATTTCAAAATCCTTTCTATTTTCCATATCAGTATCTAAGAAAATGTTCATTACTTTCCTTATAATGCTATTTAATATATTATTCTTCTTCAAGATCTTAAAGAGGTTAAGTTTTAGAAGAAAAATATGAAAGGTTACTCTTCTGCAGGTCTTTATTCAGTTTCAGCGCAAGGTCATTCTGATTCATCCTCCTCAGGATTTCATGCATGACTTTGGGAGCACCGTCTTCACAGTAGAAGTTTATCATTAGATCAACGACATCCGTTCTTTCCTTCAAATCCTTCACCTGACCTTCAGGAATGGACTTTGACTTATTATACTTAATATGACTCAAGTGCCATTTAAACTCCTTCAGCTCTCCATCGTCGAGATTCTTCAGATAATTCAGCAGGAGGATGGCAGGCGTGAGCTGGATCTAAAGGTCAAAGTTGAGTTCATGAAATCTCACAAACCCAAACATGGAGACTCAACAAGTGCTGACCTTTTCATTAACAGGAGTCAGTTTTTCTGATAGTTTTCAAATTTGTTTGAAAGACACATTTACTCTGTATTTTTCACTACTATGAGAGGCACTCGTGTGTTTTTTCTGAATTATTATTAAACCTAAATTTATTTAACCAGGTTAGTCCCACTGATATTTGAAATTTCTTTGTACAAGACAGATCTATCCAAGATAAGCACCAATAGAAATAGTTTGAGACACAATTAATATAGCACATTTAAATATGCTCAACAGCACATAAACAACACAGGACAAAATGTCACATATTGCCAATATAATAATATATATACTGTCACTTAGGTTACTCTATTACAATACTCCCATTGGCATTTAGGCTATGGTTTTAAAAATAAAAAAAAATTTTAAAAAAGAGGACGCTTGTATGCTTTTTTCAGAAACCTTAGGATGAAAATAATTCTTCATGCCGTACCTCTTCATCAGAATGGTGAGCCATGGCTGCGAGATTTCTGTAAAAAAAAAATCAGCTCTCATGTATCGCAGATTTACGAGCTGTCACTCTGTAATCGAAAACAACCAATAAAATACCCAGCGAGTACTCGGTATCCTGAAATTTCACTTGCTCTGTAAAAACTAGCCATTAAAAGCGAATTATATAAGGGGGCACCGCAAACCATTCACAAACGTCGACGTTATATCACACACTGATTGCAACAATTCATAGGAATTAAGCAAGTACAAATTGGAAAAGTTAGCGAATCAATGACTATTATTCAAGCACCTCATTTTAGTTACAACTGTCTCAGCTCGGTAGGTTTATATTTAGATAAGTGTCATTAATGATATTCATAACACTTACTGCTCTTAATACTGCATTTTCGTCTCCTGTCCTTGTTCCATACTGCACAGCTCGTACATTGGTTAAATTTTTAAGTAATATCATATATTTAACCTTCAGTCAGGAAGTCTGGATGAGTTCAGTTTCGATTTCAAAAATGAATCGTGCGCATTTTACTCAAAAGGCGTGAGTCATGTCACGTTCTTTTCTCGGCTGCTTTGGATAATTTCTCTCAGCAGTCTTGACGTTCTCTGCTTGTGCGTTTCTCAAAAAGATTTTTGTACACTGCATCATAATTTGGATAACCAGCAATAATTCATTCAAAACCTTACATTCATGTTTCAAAATGCTATATTCTTTCCAGCAATTTAGTCATTGCCACCAAAATGTGAATTCTCTATATCATTGTCAAAATGTTTAGTCATGTTGTCAACATGAAAATATAGTATGGAAGTATTTGACAAATTTCAATTCTTAAATTTTTGCTCAATTTACTTCACTATCTTTTCTCCATACTTGGGAAAAAAATAATTTACAGTTATAATGTACACAGTATTTTAGGTAGTTTTGTTGGAAAGTGGACCAACTCTACATCACGTCCTTTCGCTTCTGCTGGTATGGCCACATAGGCTAGCTATGTTCACACTGCAGGACAAATGTGGCCCAAATCTGATTTTTTGCTCATATGTGACTCAGATCAGATTTTTTCATGACAATGTGAACAGTGTCACATGGAATCCGATTTTTTCAATTCCGATTTGGGCCACTTCAGTATGTGGTCATAAATCAGATCTGATTTTTTGCAATGCAACCTCAGTCTGAACAGCTAAATCGGAATTCATGTGACTTTTACGTCACTCTCGATCGACGTTCGTCACAATTCTGCGCAGGCGGAAATCACCATATGACTCCGCATCCACACACACCTCCGTGCTGTGGTAGAAATAATTACTGCGCAACGAATAGTTTCTCGATCGCTTTCAAACCCTGTGCATATCTTACATCTGGAACATCAACATCATCAGGAACTCTTAATGTAGTTCTCAGAACAATTAAGGCATTTCTCATAACAGACTCACCTGTGCAAAGGACACTAAAATAATCAAAACCTTTTTCATGTGTGTCAAAACACGCAAAGTCAGTCAGTCACTCCAACCTGTGACCAATGAATAAAAACCTTTCACTACTGTTTTAAGACTTAGACAACAAATGCTTTTATACTTTTAACAAAACCTTACTGACTTTGAAAAGAGTACTGCAAAAAATGTAGGCCTAATTGTTGTGTGCTGGCCTGTGGGACCATGGACAAGCTTGAGTGCCTCACATGACAGGATAGGATACACGTGCTTTTTTGTCCATTAACCCTTAGAACCCAACAAATGCTAAATGAGTTGATATCAAACCCATTCATCTCAGGCTCTTGACTTTGGGTAGGGATAAGGCACAGACATTAATTGCATATTGTTGGATTCCAGAGGATTTACTCAATCTGGTCGTTTAAGTTGCTACTTTGTGCGTTCAAGAATTCCAGAGTAAGCTCATGCACAATGAAGCATATATTTAAAATATTTTCCACCAAATCACACCCATAATAATTCACAGTAGACAGAAAAAAGGGCATATTTGCTTCTGCAATGACCCTCGTACTACCCTTCTGAGGAAAAACATTAAATTTATTATAAGCCCATAAATAGAAAAATTCAGAAATTGTCTGGAGTTTTACTAGAAATATCAAAACACAACATTCTATTTATTAGGAAGACAATTACTTGATATTTCTCTAATATTTATTCATAAATGTTTGGATATGTATGTTTGATGTCAAGCTTCGTCAAAACAGTTGAAATAGAACGCACCCATTGCTACGACGACGGGACATGGTGCAGGCAAGAAATAGGTGGACGATCCATTTACAGCTCAGAGACAAAAGGGGTTTATTAAACAAAACAAAATAAAGGGACCACAAGGGATCAGAACTAGAGGTTAAAAAAATAAGCTAACATACAAAGGAATATGGGCAACATGAGGAGCAGAACTCAGAGAAACCAACAGCATAACACACAATGATTGACTGGAGAAACAAAGGCAGGCAGTTAAATACAGAAGTAATCAGCAATACCAGACAATGGGCTTCATTACATCACACACTAAATTAAAGCTTACATCCTCTAAGGAGGCACTGCAGACCACATAATCCCCACACACTTTATAGGGCTGCACACACACCAACGAGAAGCACCAGTGTGGGATGCAGTTACTCCCTTCCCCATAACACACCTGCACCCACAGGCGCGCACTCATTTTTACCAGTTTGTTGAATGCTCAACTAGGAAAAATAGGACAATAGACCTCATGTATGCAAATGTAAGGGATGCATACAGCTCCACCCCCCTACCCCCACTGGGAAAGTTGGACCACAACCTCATTCATCTTCAGCCAAGGCACAAGCCACAAGTACAGAGGCTACCAGTTGCTACACGCACCTTCAGGAAGTGGACACCAGAAGCAGAGCCTTGAGAGACTGTTTTGAATCCACTGACTGGAGTGTGCTACAGAATGGAGAGGATCTAGAGAAGGTCCACACATTGCACAACGGACTACCCGGAGTTCTGTATGGACGTTGTAGTTCCTACAAGTCTGTGCGCTGCTTCCCTAATAATTAACCTTGGGTGACCAGTGATGTCAAAAACCTCCTTAATAAGAAGAAGAGGGTGTTTAAGGATGGTGACTTAGCTGAACTGAGGCGTGTGCAGAAGGAGCTCAAAGAGTGTCTGGAAGAGGCAAAGGAGTCTTACAGGAGGAAGGTTAAAAGGAAAGTGGAAGAAAACAACATGAAGGAGGTATGGAAAGGAATGAAGCGAATCACAGGATGCAGGAAAAACAGCACCAGGGCAGAGGGTGATGTGGCTAGAGCAAATCAGCTAAATCATTTCTATAACCGTTTTGATGACTCTGCGACTACTGCTAATGGCCTTGCCATTGTAACTGCTGCAGCGACCACCCCATCACATCCACCACCATTGTCTGCTGGGTGTACAGCGAGTAACCCAACACCTCCATCAACAACCTGGGACATTCCACTGGTCACTCATTGCTGGGCATTGTCTGCTGATGTCTCAGCCATCGAACTCACACCTCCGTTTCCAACCTGTGACATTCCTGTGAACTGCTGGGCAGTGTCTGCTGATGGAACAGCCATCAAACCCACACCTCCTTTGCCAACTGGTGACATTCCACTGCAAACTCCCCCTTCCCCCCCACCACTGCTACCAGACTCTGCAAGTGTCCCCTCACCCCCCACTATTACTGTAGACCAGGTAAGGAGAGAGCTGAAGAAGCTGAAACCGGAAGCTGCTGGGCCAGATGGCATCTGTGCAAGATTGCTGAAGGCCTGTGCTGTGGAACTGGGGGAGCCACTCCAACATATCTTCAACTTGAGTCTGTGTCTGGGGAGGGTACCTACACTATGGAAAACATCATGCCTGGTTCCCAAGAAGCAACACCCCAAAGAACTCAACGACTTTAGGCCTGTTGCCCTCACCTCACACGTAATGAAGACCCTTGAGCGGCAGCTGCTCCACCTCCTTCTAAGACCCCAGTTCGCCATGCGCTTGACCCCCTACAGTTTGCTTACCAGGAGAATGTGCGAGTGGAGGATGCCATCCTCTATCTGCTACACAGGCTGTACTCTCACTTGGACAATGGAGGCAGTGCTGTGAGAATCATGTTTTTTTATTTCTCCAGCGCTTTCAACACCATCCAGCCCCTTCTGTTGAGAGACAAACTGCTGCAGATGAGAGTGGACCCAAGCCCGGTGCCTGGATTACCGATTACCTCACTGAGCGGCCCCAGTTTGTTAGACTGGGGGACATCACATCTGGGGCTGTGGTCAGCAGCACTGGGACGCCACAGGGAACTGTTCTTTGTCCTGTACTGTTCACCTTGTACACCATGGACTTCAAGTACAACTTCAAGTCGTGCCATATGCAGAAGTTCTCTGATGACACTGCAATTGTAGGCTGTATCAAGGATGGGCAGGAGGCTGAGTACAGGAGCCTTGTGGAGGACTTTGTGGGATGGTGTAGAACCAACCAGCTGCAGCTGAACATCACCAAAACCAAGGAAATGGTGGTGGACTTCAGGAGGTCTGCCCCTCCATTGCTGCCTGTCACCATCGACGGGGTGAATGTGGAGACTGTCAGTACATACAAGTACCTGGGGATCCACCTGGACAATAAACTGGACTGGTCTGCCGGTACTGAAGCACTTTACAAGAAAGGGCAGAGCAGGCTCTACTTCCTTAGGAGGCTGGGGTCCTTCAATGTCTGCAGCAAATTCCTGCTTATGTTCTACCAGTCTGTCATGGCCAGTGTCCTTTTCTATGCTGTGGTATGTTGGGGAGGCAGCACTAGGAAGAGGGATGCTGGACGACTGGACAGGCTGGTGAGAAAAGCAGCTCTGTGGTAGGCATGGAGCTGGAGTCACTGACATCAGCTGCAGATAGGAGAACCCTGAGCAGACTGCTTTCAACACTGGACAATGACCGTCACCCTCTGCACACCACTTCCTCCAAACAGAAGAGCATGTTCAGTGATAGGCCCCTGTCTCTGTCATGCAGAACAGACAGGCTCAGAAGGTCCTTTGTCCCTAGAGCCATACAGCTCTTCAACGTCACAGTGAAGGGAGGAGTGTGATGGACTTAAGTGTTTAGGCCTGTATAGCACACTGCCCTCCTGTAATTTTCCCTTGTACTGTTGCAGTATGTATGTGTGCATGAATGTCATAGGTCTGTGCGACTATGTGTATGTATACTGTGTATAAGGTACTGGACACCTAAATTTCCTTCTGGATAAATAAAGTCAGTCTGTCTGTCTATCTAATGTATTCATGTGTCTGACCAGCAATTAATTGCACAATCAATCACTCAGGGCTCACCAAATCAAGCAAGGTTTTTTTTTTTTTTTTTTTTTACAGAAAGTGAGTACATTAATGAATATTTCTTACTGGTATTCTGGGTGAATTTTTCTTCTTTGACTTTTTTGGCCTTTCTTTTTTCGGCACCAGAGGCAAATGAATATCACAATGTGCACAATGTCAGTAGTC